AACCAACCAACCAACCAACCAACCAACCAACCAACCAACCAACCAACCAACCAACCAAGTTCCTGAAAATAATACTTCCTGGAAGTCAGCCCAGAAAATATCCTGACTACTACAGACATAGACAGTATTTTTAAAACATAACCTAGATTATATGCAGGTGAGCTTAACCAGGGTAGTGGACTATCCTAAAAAGATAGATAATAAAACTGGTGAATTTTATTTCTAAGTAAAATATTTAAGCAGAGATTAGTCGTTAATAGAGATTATATAAGGGCTGAAGCTTATTGGAAAACGAGAAACCAGCTAAGCCAGGTGACCCTGACATTTAAATGCTCTCTGCGAGGCCAGATGGACATTTCCAGGGACGCTGTGCTCACACAGACAATTCCAGCATATCATATCTCTACTTTTGTTTCCCAATCACTCATCAATGAGACACAGACGGCACTGCACACCCACTTGGAAACCAAGGGATCCCCAACACTCCAGGGACACAGTGTTTTCAAAGGTCGCTCCCTGCAGGAGGAGCCTGGGAGGGAGGGAGGGAGGCACTGGCTTCCTGTCAGGATCACAGATGTGTGGCTCTGGCTGTGTGGGAAAAGAATGTGCTGGAGTTAAAAAAATTTTAAACCCTGAATATTTCACACTGATCATTAGCTAACGTGCCGAACACATACCTTAAATATTACAGGCGACATGACAATTCACTTTCACATTATGGCTTCCAGAGTTAAATTAACCAGTTCATGAATTTCCAACCCAGTAACTTCAGTACAGTAAGATGAGTTTCAATTTCCCCATCTTTAGATAAAAACCACAGACTTTTCCCATTGCACGCTCCTCATTTTCACTACATTTCCACTGCACACCATTTCCAATTGTTATAATGTAAATAATGTGGACCAAACTACCCAACCTAAAGGCTATGCTTCCCGACCAACCACTCATTAACTGTACGGAAGAGTAAAAACTCCTTACCTGTGCGACAATGAATACAATTTTAGTTATGATAAAAGTTCTCTAGCAGAGGGGTAGTGTACACACTTTTAATCCTAGCGCTTGGGAGGCAGAGGCAGGCAGATCACTATGTGTTCAAGGCCAGCTTGAGCTACAAAGTGAGTCCAGGACAGCCAGGGCTACACAGAGGAATCCTGTCTCAAAACAAACAAACAAAACAAGTTTCTAGTATTACCATTTACAGCTTTAAGAAGTAACCAGGGCAGACTCCTGGCTCCCTACCACATTCTAACAGAAGAGCAAAGTAAAACAGCTCACAAAAGATCAGACTCACACTAGGCCACTGTGTTTACAAGCAGCTAGTGCCCGAAGGGCTCCTGCATGGTGATAGTGACCTTGGGTGGTAACTGGTCCTGTCACCGCAGGAAGGAGTAACACGCATTAGGGTGTCAAAGCACCCGCTCACCTCACAGAGCAGCTTGTTTCTCAGGGCAGTTATGAGAATCAGAAGTTCGAAGTCATTGTCAGCTACACAGGGAGTTAGGGCCGAGACCCTGTCCCCACCTCTCCCTGAGAAAGAAGCGGGAGCGAAGGAACAGAGCACTTCCTCAGCATGCAGAACACCCGGATGGGTCCCTAGTCCTGGCACTCACGTTGCAAGTGCCACCTGGAGGGAGAAAACCACCACCCTAACCCCTAACCCCCTCCCCCCTTTTTAAGAAAGGAAAAGAATAGTGACTGTCTTTCTACATGTCACTGAGGGAGGCGATCGGTGAATGCACGTTCTCGAGTAAATCAAAGTGCTCAAGCTCCTTCCCCATCCTTTTTTGCCTCTGTCAGAATCTGAGGCCTCAGGAAAACTCAGCTCTGAGTTCAGAAACCCAGAATTTCTGTCCAAAATTTTGGTTTAAATTTTCATTCAAAGTATTTTTGTCAAGGCTTATTAGCAAAAATGACTGGTCTTGGACAGATGGGAGTTCTGTTGCAAATACCAACTAACCTCGACAGGAAGGTTTGGGGCCCTCAGCACTCACCAGAGCTGTAGCTGTCAGTGGACGACTGAGAGATGGAACGGGACAAAGAGCGCCGTCCAATCTTGGTGGGCCGCTTGTTGAATTCCTGCTTCTGGTCAGCAAACTGGATCTGCTGAGAAAAAGACCCTCATTATAGGAAGAAGAGGAACTCTAGTTATACAGCTTAGTCAGTCAGGGAGCACTGACACCACAACCAAGGTTGAACTGGGGCCTTGTCTACCGCTTCAGAGGCTAGTTCACTATCGTTGTGGGGGGCACGGCCGAGTGCAGGCAGGAATGGCCCTGGAGCCGCGGGCTACACCCGGATTCACAGGCAGAGAAAGAGGGGCCCACCACAGTGACAGCTTCCTTGACAAGGCCACACCTCCCAATGCTTCCCAAATGATACCTGAGCACTCCAACACGCGAGCCTTCGGGACCACTCTCTTTCAGACCACATCATATGAAGAAAACACACCCCTATTTTGAGGAAGTGATTCATTAAGAGCTTGAATTACTATAGATGGTTACTTTCCTGCGAAGTTTATTTGCTTGAAAACAAACAGCAGGACGACTCTTTGGGGCTGGTGATGTGGCGTGGTAGGCTCAGGACTCGTCTTGCATGCACCAACCCCTTGGTATAGCCCCTAGCTCCGCATAGGCTGGGAGTGATGACACACCCCTGTAATTCAGCTGAAGGTAGGGCAGGAAAACCTCAAGTTCAAAGTCATATTCAACTACTTAGGGAGTGTAAGCTCTCCATCCCTCAGGAAGCTCAAGTATAGAGCTTTCTTAGCGTGCACGGAGCCCTGGGATGGACCTCTAGCACCAGGAGGGGGAGAACACTTCTTTGGTGGTACACCCTTGTAATCCCAGCTCAGGAGGCCAACGCAGAAAGAACACAGAGAGTTCAAAGTCTCCTTGAACACAGTGAAAACCCTGGTCTCCAAAAGCAACAAAACAAACAAAAGGATTCTTTTAGAAAAAAGCATAATTTTTCAATCTTTACCAATTTCTATCAAATTTAAGTCTTTGATTGAATGACTATATTCTTTGTACATTATAACTGAGACAGAGAGAACAGAATTATGATTAAAGTTCTAGGAAGGCAAGTCATACTCAGAAACACTTTCTATTGTTTCGCTGGAAAAAGAAACCTTTGGAATTCTCTGTACATCCACATATCTGGATGAGAAAACAGCAAGACACAGAAAAACTGGCTTGCCTTGAGCTTTGAGATTCTCAGCGTGGTATGCTTATTTTGAAAAAGGTTTTACATTCACATAGAACATTCTACATTTCACTGACATCTCGGCTATAGTATTCTCAAGGTTTGCAATGTTGGTTATGATGAGTCTCTGAACCTCTTTCCGTAAGAACAACAGAAACAAAAGCATGTGCATCACAGCTTTCAGAGAGGGCTGGGTGACACAGTGCACGCGTGCGTGAGGCACAGCAGCAGGTCTGCCAGCTCGCTAATTCCTCCCCACAGCAGGTCACCACTTTAGTTTGCTAAAGAGTGTCTAGAATGTTCGCTGTTTAGAGGCCAGTAAGTAAAGGAAGTGCTAACGCTCAGTGCCACCGTCACTTTAAAAGCCATGGGCTTGGTTATTAAACACACCCGCAGGTGTGGCAGGAGGGGATGACCCAGCAGCTGCGGTCAGATCTCACTCCTCGGGGGTCCTGTCTGCAGTGTGTGACAGTGCCCTTCCTGTTAACTCTGTCTCCTGCTGCTCCGCTTCACCCAGCAAGGCTCCTATCACCTACTCTATTAATAGGCTTCTCCTAACCAAACACTTACACAGTTGCTTAGGTGGTTCTTCTGGACCACAGTGGTAGAGAGAAAAGTTTACAGAAGAGGGAAAGCTGACACCTGCTTCGACCTTCAGTGATAAAGACACGATCCTCCCTGGGCGGAAAGAGGTTAGCAAGGTCTTCCTGCTCCTAGAGGTAGCTGAGTCACAGAGACTAGGGCCCAACGGAGGCTTAGGGCTCCTCCTGCCCACAGCTACTGCAGCAAAGCACGCTCAGCGCTTCAAACGCGTGCACAGCGCTCCTGAGGTCACCGACCGCCCTCAGTCACAGGGCCAGCCACTGCAGCAGAAGCTCACTGCGGGTGGAAAGCGGCCTGCTCGGTTCTTTTGCTAAAGTAGTGATTTCATTCATTCCAAAAAGGACCACCTCAGATACACACCACTGCCTCCTGTTTCAACATACACACTGGCATATCAGCTAGCGGTGTGTGTGTGTGTGTGCGCGCGCGTACACAGGCACACGTGTGCAGATCGACCGCCAGAGGGGCCCGTGGCTCCCCAAGGGGGCTGAAGGTGGCCCAGCAACAGCGCCCCGCAGGAAGGCAGCAGGAAGGTCATCTCAGGCAATGTGCTGAGGCTGTCACCATCCCTTCGCCCCTCGGGCTCTTCAGCCAGCAAGAAAGCAGGCCTCACGTTAAAAATAGGTCTTGTGACATCCAAGCCACCCCTCCAAGTTTTTAATACACAAGAACAGTAGTGAGAAACCACTTAATATCATAATTTATGCATTTTCCCAATTAGGAAGTGTTCAGTTATCACTGATAACCGAACTGTGAGTCCCGAGGGGCATCTCCGGGCTTCACCAGTACCCTCCTCACTCATACACTCTGTTCTGTGAAACAATGATCCGGGCCGGTCACAGCAGCTTGGCAGCCTCGGCCACAATCTGCCTAACTTTCCTACCTTGTGAGAAGCCAGAGTCCTTGCAGGCACCCTCCTCTTCCTCGGCAGCACTGCCCACCATCAAGGCGAGGGAGGAAAGAGCCTGGCAGAAGTGGGTGGGAAGGCTGGAGGCTGGGCAGGAGGGGAAAGAGGGTGCAAGCAGCTTGCCTGGGACAGTGATGGCCGCCGCAGCCAGCCTGGCAAACAGGAGCTTGGCCTCACCTGGGCTTTAATCCCAGAGTTGCTATTGACAATGTATTTCTTCTTACTGCTCAGCATGGCGGTGCTGACAGTGGTTAAGGCGGCAGGCCACCTCTGTGGTCCAAGGACCCTGTGCTCCGGCTTTTAAACCTTCCTCATCAGCAATTCCGTTGGCTCTGGCTCCAGCCTGCTCTTTTTTTTTTTTTTCTTTTGAGGGGGGTGGCCATCTCTGAAGCAGCTCCAGCAACCCTCTCAGCCGTACAGCAGGGTTTAATGCGGCGTGCTCTTACTGGCTCACCGGCCATTCCTAACTCTGGATGTTTTGCTTTATTATTATTTTTCCTAACACATCATTATACAGCTCCTTTGACCTCTAAACCTTAACAAGGCCCAAGACAAGGCCCAGCATGCATGCATATGTCTATGGAGTCTTTATATAACCAGTGCACTTTTCCTGCTATAATTAACTTGCTAATTAGGTTCCCTTTTAACTTTACCTCCTCCTTTCTATGTCAGATGGTTTTATTTAACCTCATCTCATTAGAAAAAAAAATTAACTACAGAGCCACTGGAACAATGAGGGGCTTCGAGAGAGAAGAACACACGTTAGTGGTGGGGGGTGCTCAGGCAGCCTGGTCTACACTCTCCTTGGATTAGGTAGGCAGGTGACTCGAGCTGTCACCAAAACATCACTTCTTTACTCTCATTTCTTTCCTTCAAACTTATTTGCACATTCATTTAGACACAATCTCACAGTGCAGCTCAGGCTGAGACCCTCCTGCCTCAGTCATCCAGATGCCCCCCCCCACACACACACGAGAGGCTACGTTTGCACACTTTCCAGACAGGTTTTACATTCAGTGTCTAGTTTTATCTCAAGACTGATGCTTACTGAGTGCTGAGTGATCCCCTTCACTTTTTTCTTAAAAACATAAAAATAAAAAGCATGCTCTGGGGAGAAGGCAAGAGGCCCTAGGTTGCAGTCCTTGATACCAATGCAGAAAGGCAGGGTGCTGGGCATGGCTGTGTGCACTACCGCCCTAGCACCCTGTGGAGGGCCAGGAGAGCCAGGGCTTCGCGGCTCACTGGGCAGCCATCCCCTCGGACATGCCCAGCTTCCAAGCTCCTGGGCCAGTCTCAAGGCGACACGGCAGACAGCCAGAAAAGACGCCAACACCCTCCTCTAACTTCTGCTTGTGCACACAGTGATCATGCACACCCGTCCATTCACGCGCACACACATGCACACGCCACAATGTAATGTACACACAAAGTGAGTTTTTCCTGGAGGGTGTGCTCACAGGGGAGCACTTATCAGCGAGCTCTCAGAATCACAGAGACCTCATTACACGCCAACTAAAGATGCAACCCAACAGAAACAGAACTGTCCCATTTATTCTAAGTTCTGAAAGGAGCCCAAGGAATGTCCCAGATCTGGGGGGGGGGGGGCAGAAGGAAGGACGGAGAAGGGGAGGAGAAAGTGCTTGCTGAGTGTGAAGGCCAGAACGACTGAGAGCCTGTGGTGCAAGGATAGTCTGTGTTTCCAGAGAAAAGCTGCCTGGTTTCTCCGGGGGAAGAGGCGGTGTGCTAATGTGTTTCGTGTTTCACACACCCACACGTCACTTCTACTAGTGTATGCAAGGCTCTTTTAGAAGACTTTTTGTTACATTCATTTCATGTGGAGCTGGAGTCAGAGGGCAGCCTGGGGCAGAGTCTCCTGTGCGGTGAGGTCTGTGGCCACCCTCCAGCCCTCAGCTCGGACAAGCTCCCTGTCTCGCTGGGCCGCCTTGCTGGGCAGTGGAACAAATCACCACGTAGGCCCTGCTCTCCTCACCTGACACACAGCAATGTGGATCTGCTGCCAGGTGGTGATGGGAACTAAGCTAGAGCCTCTGGCCTCACAGGCAAGTTCTCGTGCCTGAGTTACTTCAATTCCATCTCCAGAATTCACATAAAGAGCCAGTGTGGTAGCCAAGTTTTTACTCCCAGCACTCGAGAGGCAAAGCCTCGCAGATCCTTGGTCTTACTGGTTAGCCAGCCTCGCTCACTTGGTAAGTTCGAGGCAAGGAAGGCCTGTCTAAAAAAGAGGTGGACAGTGCTTGAGGATCACTGGCCAAGTTTGTCTTCCAGCGTGCGCGCGCGCGCACACACACACACACACACACACACACACACACACACACACACACGAATGTGTCCAGACAAAATAAGGGCACAAGAAGGTTTTGCAGACTAC